TCAGCCGCCTTGGCGACGCCACCGTCGTCGAGCGCTTCCACCGTTGCTTCTTCCCGTTCCATGGGATCTCCTCTACCAGGATTCCGGGTTTGTTGGCCCGTCACGTCATTTCCAAAAATTGCTAGGGAGTCCGGATTGCTCACCGCCCGAGAGAGTAGCAGGTTCCTCTGCGTCTGCGAAGACGACAGACCCAATGCTGCAGAGTTCCGCTTTTGGGATCCTGAAGGACTGGCTGTCCGAGCTGCCCCAGCACCACCAAGGATATTGCTGCGACTGGAAGTTCTTTGTAGCACACGCGACTGCTGTGCTGGAGACGCAACAGGAGACATTACAGCAGCTGAAGGCGGTGACCCGACAGGGGTGCTAGCCACCTTTTCAGAAGCGGAAGGAGGCTGAATGGCTGCAGGAGAGGCATTTAGAACCTGAGGAGAAGCCGCGGATGCTTGGATTCCCAGAAGAGAATGCTGGAAGGAAGAATCTGCGGCACCCTTTAGCAAAACATACTGCGATTGTTGGTGGTGATGATTAGCCACAAATTGCTGCGAAGAGTCGATACTGTATGGGCAACAATTCGAAGGTGACATAGGCTACCATCCTTTTGTTGGGAACAACTGAAACACTCACATCATGTAGCCTCCGTTCCCATCTGACATAAGTACTTGGTGTCGCCCACCAGGCAAGCCAACCGCACCCTGCAAAGCCACGCCAACGACGCCCTGCTGCTGCATTGAACCCTGCGGGAGCCCCACAACTCCCTGTGTCAATTGAACCTGCTGAGGAGTTACAAACTGCGGAGCGACGGATCCTGTAGCAGCTTGCACTCCACTTGGAGAAGACTGCGATGCGGAAAGATTGGCTGCCGTTTGTGCGTTCCCGTGGACGATTCCCAAACTCCCTTGGGGCTGACCCTGTGAAAGGGCCGGAGCAAGACCAACAATGTTACCCGCTGCGTCCACTACCATGGTATGGTGCTGCTGCTGTGGGAGCTGGACCTGCCCACCGGTCAACATCACCATTTCCCCGGACGGCCCTTGAACCAGAGATGCACCTGGCGGCCCTGCGATGGTAACCAGCTGTCCATTAATGGTGGCGTATCCCAAATGGTGTCCTGATTGGTGTTGTGGTAACGCCATCACTTGCGCACCCACACCACCAGAAACCGGCTGACCTGCGACAGCAATGATCTGCCCTGACGGCGTCATGGCGAACATCTGCGGTTGTGGCACTTGTTGAGATATTTGGGGGGGCTGCATCTGCGACTGTGGAAGTTGCGGAGAAGGTTGCGGGGTTGTACCCGGTGTTCCTGGGGTGGCGGTCGGGGTGGACGCCTGCTGTGAGGGTTGTCCCGCCTCCTGTAATGTATTCTCTTGTCCCTGCTGTCCACTTGACCTGGCCCAGACCATCGGTCCCTGGGGTGTCAGCACAATTTGCCCTGGTTGCGGCACCGGAACCTGTACGAATCCCATTTGCTGCCCCTGGGGTGCAGGTACGAAGCCCATGGCTTGGCCATGTTGTGGAACGAAGCTCATCTGTTGACTTTGCAAAGGTAGAAAGCCCATCTGTCCCTGCTGTTGGGCTGCTCCTGCACCAGTGAGGATCCCTGAGCCGCTCCTTTGAGGCGGAGGTGGCCGGGCAAACGCTGCCACCCCAGCATTTACACCAACTCCAGCTGGAACAAATCCAAACGCCGGCACTGATACTCCCTGTGGCTGTTGTTGCTGTAATTGTCCTTGGCTCGGCCTCCCCTCACCGTGATATTGATGCCTCGTTATTCCCCCTCCCGCGCCGACCACACCCCCGCCTCCATCTACTAAGGGGACATGCGTGCTCAGCGTTGCCATAGCCATCTTCCCAGTCAACATTTCTGCTGGACTAGGGGGTGGATTTGCCAGCCCATCAAGTGCGGTGAAGCCAGCAGATGACGGGTGCACTGGCGTCCCTCCTGCGGTAGCCCGCCTGAGAGACCTTGAGAGCAACACCTGCGGAGATTTGGGCACCTTGTGAGGTCTCGTTGGACTGGGTACAACGGCAGGTCGTGCGGGACTCGGCAGCGGTGTGGCAATGGAGTACGGGGACGAGGCGCCAGGTGTCGTCGAGCCAGCCCCAATTGTCCCTGAGGATGCTCGGGATACTAAATGGGCATGCAACGCGTCTACACTGTCAGCTCCAGAAAGAGGAGGTGGTCGCTTCAGCGAGGATGAAGGGGCAACACGCCCTGGTGTGCCCGATCGAGAAGTATTCGGTGTTCCGGCAGGAGTAACTGATCCAGACGGAGCAGGGTCTGCTGCCCACGAATGCTCGTCAGGAGGAGTAGAGACTGTCGGAGTACTGACACCAAGAATATGTTGAGTCGAGCGGCGGCGTGGCAACGGGATGGCTGGTGATGACGGGGTCGTGGAAGGTTTGACACTGAAGGTTGAACTGGGGTGGGAGATTGAGAGAGTAGTTGGTTCCGGAGAGGCGGACGCTGACGGACTGGCCGCTATGGGAGGAGCAGAGGGTGGCGAGAGATTCCCTGGATCGACGTTCATAGAATCTATGTGAGGGGTGTTCACAAGAGAGATGACAATCAAAATCACCACATTCCACTTGTCCCAGCCCGAACGAGACCAAGCTCACCTTCGTCTTCCTCCTCGTCTTCTTCCTTAAATTTTGCACCGTCTCTTCCCTTGGAAGATATTGCGCGCTTGTTTTGAAACCAAGCAGCGACAGCCCTGACGGTCAGGTCTACAGGAAACACGAGGAGATCGGATTAGAAAGTCAAATCGAGAAAGCCCATCTCGTGTTCCATCCACAACACAGCTTACCCAGTTCTTGTGCCACCTTTTGTCTCTGTTTCTTGTCGGGATTCCCGTCTATCTCAAACAATTCGTTCAATCTCGCTTGCTGTTGCTCTGTAGTTTTTATCCGCTTACGTCGCGCAGAGGGTGCGCGGCCAAGCTCTGCGAACTCAAGTGGCGTGGAATTGATAAACTGGAGCTCAGGGGGCGCTGCCAGGGGTGATGTGGTCATGGAGGCAGTGGTTGAGGGCTTCGGTGCTTTCGGTGCGCTGTCACTAGCGGAAACAGTGGCAGATCCAGACGAGGGGGGTGAGTTTGTTGAAGGTAAAGAGGTGGTCTGAGGTCTAAGTGGCGATGGAGCAGGTCCAAGCTGCTGGTGGAAAGATACTGGGGTTGAGGACGTGAACGCCGACGTTCCTGCCATGTTACCGACAGGAAGGCGGGACGGAGGGATCGCAGAGGCTGCAATCGCCGAGTTGGGTGTGGGCGGTGGGTGGTGGGGCGTGAGAGGACCTGGGTAGGGAGGACGAGTGGCCGAGGGGTCTGGAAGTGTGCTAGTTGAGAAATGGGAAGGAGATACGGATGAGGCAAGTTGTTGATGGGATTGAGCGATCGCAGTGGAGACGGTTTGGGGGAAAGCAGACGTCGCCGATGATGTAGCAGAGAGCTGGTGAGCAAGCGTGTGACTACCAAATCCGGAGCCTGCCATGCCAGCACTGAGCTGAGAGTGGTCGCGCGACGGAGTGGGCGAACCACCATCGCCTGGATTGCTCTTTAACCTTGGCATGGACGCACTGGTACCTAGACTGACAGAGTCACCCATGGAAACCGAATTGACGTCAAAATGGGGATTCGAGAGGGGTGGAACTGGGTTAGTGCTGCTGGTGCCCACAGAAGACGGGAGTTGTGAAGATTCTTGATGGAGTGGAGTGCGAATGGGAGGAGGTTTATGACGGCGGAGGGAGTCTCTAGGTTTAAGAGGCGAAGCAAGCTCCTCCTGCCCGGAGGATATGGGAGACGGGGAAGTAGTGAGTTTCTGTTCCAGAGATACGGGCATTGTAAGAGGTCCGTTTGATTGAGAGTACGCGAACTGCAGTTGGTTGTTGGCGTTCAAAACACCAAGAGTATTCCCGTATGTGAAATCGTTGAGCGGCATCGGTACCGCCGAGTACTGGAGTTGGTGTAGTTGAGAAGGGTGAATTGACTGCAGTTGCTGGTACTGAGGGAGAGCGAAAGACTGTTGTAGTGGGATTTGGTGATTCGCGGTGAGCTGGTTGAATTGGTTGATGTGGTTGATTTGGGTGTTGAGCGGGTGGAACTGCTGTAATTGATGTAGCTGCGCTTGCTGCAATGCATGGATGTGTTGCTGATTGAAGTGAGCTTGTTGAATCTGCATCGCCTGCTGAGCGAGCGAACTTAGTGTCCCTGTCCGGTGTTCCCCAACAACACTGGCCACGCCAAGTCCCACAACACCAACACTTGAGGTTGCAGGAGCCACTCTATAGCCTGCCTGCATAGCTCCCATGGCTGCTGCGTGCTGTTGCTGCGCAGCGACTGCCATCTGCTGCTCGACTCCAATCTGAACGTCAACACCATCACATCCTTCCGAAACAACTCCTTCCCGCTTTAGTTCGCCACCAGAGCTCCCACCCGACCCTCCAATCACTTCAGAAGAAGCTATCCCAATCCCTCGCTCCACGCCTTCGTCGAGCTTCACCCCTTCAGTTTTGATCGTACTGTCCTCCTCCACACAATCTTCCATGCTGCTCCGCTGCGGCTCGCTCCGTTTTCTCGTTCGATTGCCTCAAGCCGGAGATGTCCTCAAATCTGCTTCTGCCCCGGCGTCTGTTTTCCCTCTTTTCCGCGACGGGTCGTCGCACAGTCTGAATGGGAGGGTTGTCGCACCCAATGCGCCCATGTCATTGTTGGACACCTCGTCCCACGTGACACAAAAAATGATCATTCTGTACCAACATACCTTTTATCGTTCACTTCCCATACAATGTATTCCACACCCACCAAAAGCTTCGACTTCCCTCTTCCTTTCATACTTCTGTCTTCCCACTCTCTGCGCGCTTTCTTGCTAGTTTCCACAATGTACTTTCACTTTCATGTCAAGTACCACTTGATTCATTCTTGTTCTCAGGAAGAGCTGCTCAAGAATGTAAAATAATGTTGTTTTAACTATATATATAAAAATAGATCTCCATCAATAGTAAAGCGCCAATAGTATAGGGGTAGTACAAGCGCCTCCCACGCGCTAGGTTCGAGTTCGAGTCTCGATTGGCGCATGCTCACACTGGAGTTGCAACTGACAAGTTTTTTGAGGTCTTTGCTGCGCAATCGCAGCGGACACCGTTTCCCTTCATCTATCATGTACTTAATAGTTTAGATTCGGGGAGAAACAGAGCGTTTGTTTTTTCCACCGAAAGCTACGAGGAGTTCACTGATAAACAAGAAAATTCTGCTTCCATCGGCACATTCTTGAAAATGCCAGAAGTGCCAAGTTTGCGCAATCTCTTCAGAAGTTGTGTAAACGCCCATCGTACCGTCACTTAGAACGGTTGTCTCAAAAGCCTCATCCTCGCAATACTATCAATGATATTCACATATTCACAGAATTATGTACTGCTTGATGCATCGCACCGAATATCACATGTCCTTGTTACGATACCATTCAAAAAAGTCTAATTGATCCAACAACTCTGCCATCATTCTTCCTTCCACATCCTTTGCCATACCTTTGCGCAACACCAACTTCCTCACCACGGAAAAGAATAGTCTTGTTGCATTGTGCCAATCATCCAGCACCATTTCCAGTGCTGCTGAGCCTGTGTCGAGCACCTCGTTCACCGAAACCCCTGTAACGATCCACGCAGCCTTGACAACTGAATCGAGCATCGCGTCCACAATCTTCCGCAGCGGAGCAAACCTGTGCTCCAACATGCAACCGCTCAGCATGAGATCTAAGCACGTGTTGTGGAGTTTGTAGAGCTGGAGGATACTCCGTGGAGGTGGAGACGAAGGGTTCAGGCGGTCCTGGCCAGCCAACATTTGACTGTCCGTATCATCTTGGCTTTGCGTATCGGTAAGGTGTGTTGGTTCTTCTTCTGGATCTGCAACCTCATCACTCAACAGCCGTCCTACATCGGGCGCCCTTGCGACTTCTTTCCTTGCCTCTTTGACCTTGCCCACAAACGCACCCCAATTACGATTCACAACGCTGTGCTCGACATAGGCGGTGAATGCCTTGACAAAGACACGCATGGAGTACAAAACGGATTCGTCCCGAAAATCTCTCCGCAGACGTCGCGTGGCTAGGCGATTCGCCGCATCATCAGCAACGAGGAGACGTGTAAGGAAGGACGTCAGATGGGAATATTTCAACATGATCGGAGCGTCAAAGAGAGTATTGCAGAGGGGAGAGGGAACTTGTAATTTCAAACGCATGAAGTTAAGGGCATTGACAGCTGGAACGAAAATGAGGGTACACGCTCAAACTCGATGGATGCCGCTATCCTTCTTCCCACCCACAACTAACTCACAATTCACCACTTCGATCCCGGCTTCGGCTTGCGAATCCAAGTCAAACTCCCAATCCACTCCATCCCTTTCAACTACGCCAATCATTCGTCGCGCCATCTCCACACTCCGAGGTGGCCAGACTCTATCCATTCCTACCGCAGACCTCGCCTCCGCCAGAACTCCACCGAATACCGCGTCCTTAAAATTACCTACAACGACGCCATCTCCCATCAAAAGCAGTCCCCGTGCAGCATCCATGGTATTACCCAAATCGGGCAGATTGAGTATAAATTCGAGTGCGGAGCGCTCCAAGAGGCGGCAGCGGGCTCGGAGGGGGCGGTGAACAAGAAGGCTTACAGCGAGCTCAACGGGCAGTAGAGATCGTTGTTTACTGGAAAACTGTCCCGTCGCGTCAAGGTCAGGAATGTTGAAAAATGTCAAGGGCGGTACGTTTTGTGAGGACACTCCATTTCTCCCTGTGGAGGTGTGATCGACAGGGCTTCCTTCGGCAATCGCTGCTTCGACGCCTGACCCATGCCGCACAGGGTCTGATAGATCGCCTTCCTTGGGTAGCCGCTCTTTTGATTCATGTAGACCACTGGTAAGCTGCTCAGATGCACTAGCCCCCGCTGGCGTTACCACATTCTTCATTGGACTTGTTTGTTCCTCATTCCCGCTATCCCCTTCTGATACAAGAACATCAAGAGGAATGGAGCTCCTGCGTAATTCTGCGGAAGGTTGCGCGGCATTGAGCTTAATTGATGTGGCAGATGGTAAAGGGTCCGGATTCGACATGTCTGCAGCGCTTGCTGGTGATTGATGAGTGTCAGCGGTTCCCGTCGCAACTTCAATGTTCCGATCTAGCGGCATGAGGAGCTCCCTCATTTCGTCTGTTCTTGCCGCGTCCAGCTCACCCAGATCAATTCCATGCACTTCATGCACCCACTGAATATCCGCTCCCATCTCACCCCATACTACCCTGTCATCGGCTAACAACAACCCTCTTCTCGCCTCCTCCAAAGCCAGTCGCCTCCGTTTCCAATCCACCAAAGCCTCTCTTCTCTGAACATCTCTCATTCGGGTGGCATGATCTGCCTCGATCTCTGCCCGTGCCTCTTCCAAAAGACCCTCTCGCAAGTGGTCGGATGCAGATTGTGCTTCAGGTACCGCGAGGGTGGCAGCGACAGTTGCACGGGCAGACATAAAGTTCTACGAGGGAAAATGAGGCTTGGCGGCTTTCGAGGAACGCATCCATGGCCTTACCTCCACTTCCGACCTCCACCGCTCCTTCTGCTCCACTAGCGCGCGCTTCCTGGCGTCCTTGTCGTTGCGCGCAAGTTCATCACGCTGTCGTGCCTTCAAACACACAGGAATTCAATCCTCGCAATCCAAACAGAGATGGCGTTGTCATGGAATCACAATTACAAACTCACCTTCTCCCTCGCCCTCCGTGATTCAATCTCCAACAAAGCCGCCTTGTCCTCCACTAAACTGGTCTGTCTCCGCTCCCAATTCGTTAAGGTAGCGACAAAATCCACCATACGTTCCTCAATCGAGCGGGAGACACTGCCAAGAACGTTCTTCACTCATGAGACACCAACGTGGAACAAAGCACTATCCTGCCGCAACGGACGACACAAACATACCTCAGGCCCTCCTCCCTTGTCAATGAAAACCACTTTCTCTGCCCATCACGGTGATCCGACCACCATTGATGCCGTACCACAGGATGTTCTGGCTGATGCTCTCTGACGAAAGCCGCAGACCTGCTTGCACGAAAAAGCCGGGAGGCCAAGGAAAGGGGTAAGAATGGAGGCATCGAGGAATCGTTGGGCTTCGGGTATCAACGAGAGTGAGACACTTGTCCATGCAGTGGTAACGATTGATATTTGAACTTACAGTTGCGAGCCCGATTCCGTCCCCCTGCGACGTTTCAAATACCCTCATCCAACTTTCTCCACGTCCTTCAAGCCACTCCAACAGCTCCCTGACCCATGGTCCTCCCCCCGCTTCCAGAGCTTCCACACACTCGGCAACGTCGTCATCGGAACCCAATGCTTGCGCCCGCAGGCAGGACGTATAGAGATGGGCGAGAATCCCATTCTCCCCACGGTTCTCCCCACGGGTGGAGGTGTCAGAAGAGACGGGGCGAGAAAGGATGGGTTCAACCAGGCGACAGAGGTGCGACACGCGAGGGAGGAGACCAAGTGCCACGTGGTGCAGAGCGAGCAAAGGTGCCGTAAAGTCGCGCGATGCGTGGGTTGAGCGGGACAAGTACTTGCGAAGTGCCAGAAGAACCTCTGCGGTAACCTTATCGATGCGTGTTCGGAGCCATGGAATGAGGGATACCGATGTCACGTCGTGAGAAGACGAAAAAGGTGGTGTGTCGCGCTCCGTGAGCGCACGGAGGCGGTACACGAGACTGCCCGTGTGCAGGATTGGTGGGAGGAAGCTAGTGGGTACCCAACAATTACCTGAGTTCTGAAGTGAAAAGTGACCGGGAAAGAGAAGGGGACGGCCGCAACCCATACGTACCGTCGCACCGCACCAGGTGATACACCTTCCCATCTCACACCATCATCATCTTTCATCACAAACTGGCCTTGAGCAATCCCATTGGCGTCGCGCCATTTGAACAGTCTGCCGGGCACGCCCACCAAAATTGCGGCGAATTCCCGGTAGAGAGAGGTGGAAGTTACAGTAGACTCCCATTGTTGAGAGGAGAGAGGGTGTGGGAAATGCGATAGAAGAGCGGAGTTGGAGGTCTCTGGGGGATGGAGCGTGAGGAAAGGAGGGGGTTCGCGATCGGAGGACATGGTCGCAGGCCAGGACGGTACAAATTCTTGGTTCGACAAAGACGGATTGGAGGCAAAGCAGGACCAGATGGAGTGCCTAGGGCGGTGGTGAGATTGTGATGAAGGTAGTTCTTCAAATATGGCAGGTCCTCTGTCGACGGTCACTCCGAGTCGCCGTTGTGGTGCCTGAGTCTCCTGATTACTATACCACATATCGCGCCATTCCTCCCTTGCTCTTTGCGCGATGACGTCAGTAGGATTCCGGGGGAGGATGGGGAGGGTGAGTTTCGTTGGAGGACGGAAGGAATTGCTGTTTTGGAAGTCCCATTGGATTTGGGAGGTGATGGGACCAGTGGGACCAGAACGACGAGAAAGAGCTCCAAGCAGGTCGAAAGGGTTTAGGAGTGCGGGAAGAGGAGGGAGAGAGAGAGAGGGAAGAAGCGCTGGCGCGTCCAGTTCGGGGAGTTGTGCAAGTAAGCGAAGAAACCAGCGTGGTCAGCAAGTCAGAACAGGAGTGCGTGAGACAGATGAGCACAGGAGCTACACACATACGCCCGAGTCATTTCTAGCCAAGTGCGGGGTATCATGCTCGAGGTGAATGCTGTTGTGTCGTGAATACGTAGTGACCTGTGTATCCGCAGCACAGAGGAGGAACCATAGCACTGCGTACACCTCAGTTACATGAACCCCACGACTTTCTGCCTTCCCACCAGGGAAAATCGTAGCAGATGGCAGGGTAACCAGATCGGCCGTGCCCGTAGTCAAAGCTTCATGGGGTTGTTTCACAATATCATCCGTGCGGGAACTCAACTCCAAAACAAGTGTCTCAAGCTTGTCCGCGTCAGTGAATCTGTTGTTCTTTCTCAGATCGAGGGCAGCCGATGCAGATCTCTGTGCAAGTAATGCAGGCCATTTGCGGACCGATTCGTCGTGGAATCTGGGCGAGGTACGGGACGATTCAATGCAAGCGG